CTTTGAGGCGGCTATAGCAAGCTTTTCATGGTAGGATTCAGCTGATCTTCTTATTAGGATCACATAAAAATAGAGAAACTCTCCATGAGCTGTTTAACACAGGACTAGTCAAAATCCAAGGTCAAAAGGGCCAAAGGGATAATTACTGGCATCCTTTGATATCTAGATTTCCCTGTTTTGTTCATAGAACAGTGGAAGTGCACGTACAATATTTGTTTTTCTAAGGTATCTTGAATACTGCTCAATTTATCACTAAAAAAATCATATCCAGTATTTACGATGCTAACTAACCAACCATTTATGTTGATGAGAGAAGTTACCTAAGAGTTGAGGTAGCTGATTTTGCATTGTGGGCATCCATTAGAGTTTGTGAAACGCTGGTTAAACATCTCTAGCCGCTGTGTAGTCTCTGTTAGTGTACTTCAGATATTAACTGGATAATGGCCCCTAAGGTGTAAAATAAGATGAGTATTCACATGCATATTATACTAGACTGAAGTATTTCAAAGGTATATAATACAGGACCAGATAACTTCCTTGGTGAATTCTACCAAATACCCTGATAGCATAGCCAGACGAAGACACCACAAAAAAAGAAAATTACAGGACAATATCATTGATACATAGATGCAGAATATCCTCAACACAGTATTAGCAAGCAAAATTTAACAGCACATTAAAAGTATATCTTATACCATGATCAGGTGGTATTTATTCCAGGAATGCAAGAATGGTTCAACATCCACAGATCAATCAATATGATACACCACATTAATAAAATGAAGGATAAAAAGTCATATCTCAGTTGATGTAGAAAAAGCATTTGACAAAGTACACACCCATTTATGATAGAGGCTCTCAACAAAGTAGATATAGAGGAAATGTACCTCATCATAATAAAGGTTATATATGATAAGCCCAAGGCTGACATCATACTCAAGGGGCAAAGCTATCAGCTTTTCCTCTAAGATCAAGATAAGAGTGTCTACTCTCACCACTCCTATTCAACATGGTACTAGAAGTCCCAGCCACACAATTAGGCAAGAAAAAGAAATAAAATTCATCCAAATCAGATCAGAAGAAGTAAAACTGTTTGCAGATGACAACTGTTAGAACTAACTGGTTCTGTAGTGTTGCTGGATACAAAATTAATACACAAAATGAACTATCAGCAATCTTTTAGAAATCTCATTTATAGTAATATCAAAAATAACAAAATACTTAGGAATCAGTTTAAGGAAGTGAAAGATATCTATACACTAGAAACTATTAGATGATGATAAAGGAAATTGAATAAAACACATAAATGGAAAGAGCCTTTGTTCATGGATTAAAGAATTAATATTCTTAAAATGTCCATACTACCCAAAATGATCTACAGATTTAATGGAATCCTACTAAAGGCATGAAAAATGCTGGCAAGGATGTGGAGAAAAGGGGGCTTTTGTACACTGTCAGAATGTAAACTGGTATAGACACTATGAAAAACAATGTGGCAGTTCCTCAAGAAATTAAAAGTAGTACTACCATATAATCTAGCAATCCTACTTGTGGTTTTATGTCCAGTTGAAACAAAACCACTATGTTGAAGAGATGTCTACACTCTCGTATTCATAGCAGCATTATTTGTGGTAGCCAAGGTATGGAAACAACCTAAGTGTCCATAAGTGGATGAAGGGAAAACGTGAGATATACACCCATGTATATAAACACAAACACAAACACAATGGAATATTGTTCAGCCTTAACAAAAGAAGAAAATCCTGTCATTTGTGACAACATGGATGAACCCTGAGGGTGTGAGTTAAGTGAAACAAACCAGACAGAGGAAGACAAATGTTATATGCTGTCACTTATACATGGAAGCTAAAAAATAAAATGTAGAACTCGTAGAAACAGACCAGAACAGTAGTTGGTAGGAGGTAGAGGAAATAGGAACAGATTGGTAGAAGTGTAGATAATTCCAGTTATAAGATAAATAAGGTCTGAGGCCCTAATATATAGCATGGTGACTCTGGTTGATAATGCTGTATTATATAATTGAAATTTGCTAAGACAGTAGAACTTAAATATTCTAACCAAAAAAAAAAAAAGGCAAATACAGGGGGTGATGTTTGTGTTAATTGGCTCAATGGGAGGAATCCTTTCACAATGTGTGTGTGTAAACCCATCATATTTGTACATGTTAAACATCTTATAATTTTATTCCTCAATTATATCTCAACAAAGCTGAAAAAGTAAATTATAGACAATATCACTCTTTTTTTTCCCCATTTTTCCAATCATTTATTTGTCTGTTTCTTCTAAATCCTTTGCTGTATTAATCTCTCATGAAATGAGGGAACTAGAATAGAATTGTAGGATGATTTTCCCCCACAGGAATGTTTTTTGAGGCAACAACCTGAGTTTACTCCAGGTTGTCTATAAAGTTGTGGAGACCGTTTTCTAAAAGAACAGGACAACAGACATTAGCGTGGGCTCTTAGAAAAATCTCACATAAGACTACTACCGAGGAAAGCCAGGTGGGGAGAAATTCTGTGCTAAGTTTCTAGCAAAGCTAGAAATTATTGAGCCAAGAATTGGGGTAGTAATTGAACTTCTCAGGTCTAGTGTAATACTATCCTTGCCTTTCTTAAGAAAATACTAATGAACAAGCCTATTTCTCTAATTTAGTTAGAGGATCTATTTTAACTGATAGAATTTAGGTTATTAATAAGTATCTAATTTATTTAAAATTCTCTAAATTTTCCATTTCACTCTGTATGTAGATAGAGATTTCAATTCTATGGGTATTCAAACAACTGCAAAAATGTTAAAAATGAAAATGTATTGTTTAGATATTCCCATAGAAAATTTAAGACTATTAGGTTATAGCTGTGGGTGTCAGAATCACCTGGAGGGCTTGTTGCAAGCACGGATTGCTAACCCCCATTCAGAGTTTCAGATTCCCTAGTTCTGGAGGGAGTCCAAGAATTTGCATTTCTAACCAGCTCTTAACCAATCTTTTGAGAACCACTGGTCTCTTGCCATCCACCCTCCATGTGAAATTTAGATGACCATGTGAGCATCTTTATTTAAGCCACAATAAATAACACAGGGAAAATATCTTCAAGTATAAAGCCTTGGAAAGAGAAAATAAGTATTTAAATGCGTGCTCTATATTATCTTTCAATAAATGATTAAGGTTAATCATTACATTAACTCAGAAATTTTTTTTCCCCTGAGGTTAATCTCATATGGTTCAGATACTTTGTTTTCTGATACATTCTTAAGACCTGATAGAATATTAAATATAGAAATATATTAAATGTAGAAGTGATGGAAATATTTAGGACCTCTCATAAACAGTGCTTTTTCCTCTCTGTTTTTGCTACAACTATGTATAAATGGATTTTCTAAAATTGTCATATATGAGAGATAAATTGGGTGTGGAAAACCAACTTGTAGGACAGAAAGAAATATTCAAGCATGGGAAGAAAAGAAGGCTGGCAGGAGAAACCTAAGAACTGAGATTTAAGTGAGAATGATGCATTGTCACTGAGGCTCGTTCACTTAACACGTGCAATATTAGAGCAATTCTTCAGTTTGTAACTAGACTTGAATGTAATGAGCAAATGATCAGTCAGCTTATGCATGGTTAAAAATCACTGGATCTTCGGATTTGTCTGGTTGAAGAGCCACATTATATAAAGTTAACATCATAAAAAGACCTGTTAAATGAGAATATACGGTTTCACATATTTTTATGATGTAAAATTTTAAAATACTATAGGGGAAAAATCATACCCTTGAAAAATGATTTTGTTAGTTGTCCGATCTCCGAGCATGAGAAACTTCCCCGAGAGAACTGCAGAGCTTTGTTTTATATCAAGTCCAGGCAGTGTCTAGAAGAAAGGAGACCAAGGCACATCCTTAGACCTTCCCCCAGCTGGCATTACTGCCCCCAGTGCCCTCAAGTCCTCAGCGTCCTGGGAAAGAAGGTAGAGACAAAAGTCACGCTCCTTCAGTGAGTGCCTCTTGGTGCTAATATTTGACTGCACATCTCCTCTGACAAACCCAGAAAGGACACCCAGACCCACCTGAGCCCGGGGTCCTGCTTCTGTCACTGAGCTTCTGGGACACATGTGGCTGCCGAACTCAGGCCCTCCTGACAGAAAGCAGCCCTGTGTCCCTAAAGAGAATATGGAAACTTTCAGATTTAGATTAACTTCTTTTTTCTGGTGTACAGCATAATGTTTCAGTCATATATATATGCATATATTCATTTTCATGTTCTTTTTCATTACAGGTTACTACAAGATACTTAGTATAGTTCCCTGTGCTATACAGGAGAAACTTGTGGTCCATTTTATATATAGGAGTTAGTATTTGCAAATCTTGAACTCCCAATTTATCCCTTCCCACCCGTTTAGATTAACTTTTAAATCCTTAAATCAAACTTTGGAAACGTAAATTTCTCATCAGGATCATGTATAGTTTGAATTTTTTCCTCCTTTAAAAATGTGAAATGTGAACTCAAGTGGGTGTATTTTATTTTAAATGGGAACAAAGTAAACATTCAATATGCTGAAACATTGTTTTTAAATTACCTTACCCAATTTTTCTTTTTTTTTTCTTTTTTTGAGCCTGATGATTTACAGAATAGGAGATGAGATAAAGTATTGGTATTACCATAGTGAAATTTTTTTTATTTTTTATTGTTATAATGTGATGTGCCTAATAGAAAAGAAGGAATTTCCCAGTATTCATGGTGATCCTCAAAAATGTTTAAAAGGAGAGGGACTTGAAGGAAGGCATACAGCAGTGTTTCTGTGTGTTGAACGGGGCAGGTTTATACTTTGATTAGCACGGGGGTAACGTTGCTTTCCACTCTGTGGTACTTTAGGCCAGTTTAATGTCATGGTTGGCTGCATGTCTTTCTTTCATTGTCTAGGATTGCGGTGTGATTCTTTGCTCACTCATCACCCTCCTGGTTCTGCCCTGCCCCCATGTCTCCACAGATCGTTTTGTGTTTCTCTCCGGTTGGTCACAGACTGAGAGCCAGAGCTTGCAAGTTCCCAGCCCTGGTTAACTGCACGGCTGTTGACTGGTTTCATGCGTGGCCGCGGGAGGCTCTGGTCACAGTCAGCAGGAGGTTCATTGATGAGGCCAAGGGAATCGAGGTACGCCGGGTCAGCTCTGAGTCTCCCTGCTTCTCTCTCACATGCACACACGCGCTCTCTCACTCTGATCAAAGTCCTCCCTAAATAGACTAACACTAGCACCTCAGAGGAAGTCTACCGGGAATATTTTATCCTTTCAAATCTGGAAAACCATCCAATATGACCAATAATGATCCCAGTTATTAACACAGGTTTCTTCAGCTCTGCTGAATTCACTGCATTACTGAAATTATTCAGGGCATTATTTTGTCGTCTAATAATTGCAAGAAGGGTTCAGAATGCCAGTTTTCTAGAGGAAGAGAGCCGGTATGTATCATTTGGTAGCAAAATTCTGTTTTATGCAGTTCATTTTATCAGGCTGGTTTGGTAAAGAAAGGGACCAGTGCACTTTAAGTTCATTTTTGCACTGGGAGGAAACCAGAGCTGTAGCATGGTTTAATTTTGTGTCCAGTTCAGTATTTAAGTCCCTTGCCTTTGCTGCTCCGGTGCCAGCTTTCACCTGTCAAAGTAGGTGCCACTTTGAAAGCCCGCTACTACTGAAGGAGCTCTGATATGCCAGTGACCATTGACATCTGCTGGATGAAGGAGGACTTGCATCATTTTAGGTCCAGAGGGCTCCTGGCAGGTGGTGAGCTCTATTTGGTGGTATCATGGTGCCTCCTATAGGACGCTGAGTGCCTAATAGGAACTGAAAAGCACTTTACCTTTTCTGTCCAGCTGAATTATGCCTGGAAACAAATTAGCCAGATGATTTCATTTCAGTGCAGTGTGCTTAACTTGCCCACCTTCCTAATTTGTTGCTCAGGAGCAGTAATTATAATTCAGAGTGCAACATGTCCATGTTCTTCTAAAATGGTGTGGTGCCTTTTCAGTAGAGGTCAAAAACAGCTTGTAAATGTTTTCAGTGAGCACTAATTTGATCACTTTCTTAGGTTTAATTTCTACCATTAAGACTGAGAGTTATCAGCATAATTTAGGCACGTCTTAATTATTGACCTCATCGGCTGAGTGTAAGGTCCTTATACACAGTGACTCCCCTTTAGCCACAGAGAAAGGATTCATTAAAGGCAAGCGGTTTTGTGTGTGTTGACATATAATTTTCAGTCAGTACACACTCAGCATCCAAGGATGTGGGCTGACTGTGTCTGAGTAAATGTTTGTGCTATCTTTCTGTTACTTGGTTTTGAACTAAAATGGCAGCTACCAGAGTGACCAAAAATACTTTTTGACACCCAAGTATCACTGAGTATTTGTCTGAAGACTTTGTGTCCACATGTACTCCTTGCAGGAGATTTAGAAATGGGAGATGGAAAGACAGGGTGTTTGGAAGAAGAGGCTACCCTCCAGGTGTCCCTGGGAATGGGATTGCAAATGATCATAGGGAGGAGGTCTCACTGAGAAGTATATGGGTCCCAGTTTGGAAAATTTAAGAAAAAAGGCGGGAGAAACGGGTGTTAAAAGATCAGTAGTACTAATAGGTTTTCCAAGTTAAAGATGGATAATTGTGATAGTTGGAAGCAGGGCTTGATGAAACAGGAAATTAATGAATGGAAATGAAAAGACAAGCTCTGTGAGGAGTGTGATTGGCTTTGGAAGGACTAGGGGAAGAAAAAACATTTGATTGAGATGGAGGCGCCCATCCTTTTCTGGCATGTTGGCCAACTGACGGGAGAAAATTTTCTGTCCTTTTGCTGGGACACAACTTCAGAATGGTTACACAAGCTCAGTGCCATCAGCTTACGCAGTAAAATTGCTTCTTCCACATGCTGCCCCCCTCCAGTCCAGAGCTTGTTGCAGGCTTTGGCAACATATGAATGGCATATTTGACTACCATCTTCCAAACCAACTATAAAAAATGTCCACTTAAGGAGGAAAGTTCCTGTTCTGCTGCCTGTAATGCGTTGATCGCCCACGGTGATCGGGTGCTCCTGAGGAAACACGACTGTCATCCAGATTTGGGTGCCATGGCTATCAGTATGTTAAAGACTGATTTGGTGATTGGTGTCTAGGTTTCTTTTAAAATGTAAGGCAAAGCATGAAACATAGCAAACAATATTTTATTAGTGATAGGTGTGTTAGCTGTTTTTCTATGAATGATTTTTAGTGCAATTCTTTCTTTGAAATGTGAGGTTTATTCAATGTGAATTTAAAAAGTAGAAAGGTAACCTTGTGCAATAGAAATTCTCTGAGTTTGTGATAAAGACCCTCTTTCTGAGGAATACTGAAGACATTTTAAAAGATCAAGACAAAAACAAATGCAACCAAATTTCTGTTGAATCTACTGAATCTCATACTGGCTTAAGCCTACATTTACATCGATGATAAAAGGCCCAGGAGGTGGTTAATATACTGCCCATTCTTCAGCCCTCTTTCTCCTTCACATGTACACAGGCACATACTGTCCACCGTACATTTTTTTGCTCTGTGAGTGTTAATTAAATTTAGAATAGAATTGCAAAAAAAAAAAGCAGTAGAATGCTATTTTCTGGCATTTTTGTAGTGATGAAAACTTTAGGAATCTCTTCTACCTCAAAAGTAGGGTCCAATTTTACAGCAGCCCAGGAACTTGGACGTGCTGTTAAGCGGAATGCTTAACTAAATCAGATGGAAGCAACATTACCTCCTAGGTAAGCTTGGTGGTTCCTCTAGTGCCGGCCTCCCCAGAACCATCTCCTGCCTTGTCTGCTTTGCTCTAAGACGGGTAGCTGCTTTGTTTTCATGTTCTGTCAGTAAACCATTGAATATCTTTCAAGGATTGGAAACTCATCTGGAAGATGGCTAGCTTATGCTGGACTAAAACTTACCTTTGACCCGTCTTGGTCTCTACATTTAAAGACAAAAATAAAAAATAAAAACCATGAGCAAAATAACAATATAATACCTTTACCAAAGTAACAAGTGAAAAAAAAAAAAAACCAGCATGTAATTTAGAAGTTCATTTGGCTCTGCGTTTAACGCTTGTGGCTGCCCGGTGGTGGTGGTGGTGGTGGTGGTGGTGGTGGTGATCCTCCTGGGACTACTATCACCAAGAGCAGAGTAACGCGTGCCCTGCTTTTGCATTGTTTACTGCCTCTCATCACCAACCTTCTCAGCAGGGACCGCTGGTTTCCCTGCTGCACAGGTGAGGGGATGAAGGTCATAGCACAAGATCATTCAGAGGACAAGGGGCCTGTCAGCACCTTCTTGCCTGAGCCTGTATTCTTAAATCCTGCTCAGAACTATTGCGCAAATGTTTGAGTCTTCTAAAGGAAGAAGAAAAGGAAAGGAAGAAAAGAAACCAAAAATGTAGTAAGGAAATTCTCCCCTTTGATTTTGTGGGCAAAAGGAACTTCAGGGAATGCAACTTTACAGAACTGGAAATCTCACCCAGGTCCTAGGATTCAAGCCCCGCAGCTCTGGCTGCCTCCACAGTCTTTTCCTGGGAGCCCATCAGCACACGAGGAGCTTAGGAGAGGTGCGCCGATGTAATACCGCTCATTTTATGCATTATTACGTTTTCATTATTTAATAAACCAATCTTAAAACCACCATACCTTATTAATATAGTCTCTATTTTTACCAGCCCTCAAAGGAGCTAAAAATACAAATAATAGATTTGGAATTATTAAAAATTAATGTAGGTATTAAATATGTGCAATTATTATTATATATTAATTATACTTCTGTAAAGCTGTAAAAACTTAACAGAAATAATTTCTGAGAAAAACTTTGAAGATGAACAGTAGGTGTATGACACTGTATGTTACAAAATTATCCTAAGTTAAACTGAAGGAAAACTTCTTCCCCCATCTGCTCCCTTTGACCCCTCCCACACCCCTCCCTTGAATACAAGACTTTTGAAAGATTAAATTTTAAAGTCCAGGCGTAGAGTTGTCTTTATTGGCCTTGGGAAGGTGTAAAATCCTCTGTGACACCTCCAGTATTTGATTTTGTTTTGGCCTCCAGACATTGGTTTTCATTCAAATTTTGCTGTCATTTTCAACCATGGGGACGTGCTGGGCATTTGCTTTAAGAGTCAGATGGCCGGGGCAGTTGGTGTGGCAGCAGCTGAGAACCGTCACACCTCATAGGAGAGATTTGTTTGTGTTTTTGTGTTTACAGTGAGCTAACCAAGAGAGTAGAAATTAAACACTTTTTCTTTTTTTGTTGTTTTTTTTTGTATATATGCATATATATTTTTATTGACATATAGTCAGTTTACAAGGTGTCAATTTCTGGTGTACAGCTTAATGTTTAGTCATACATGAATATACATATATTCATATTCATATTCTTTTTCATTTTAAGTTACTACAAGATACTGAATATAGTTCTCTGTGCTATACAGTATGAACGTGTTGTTTATTTTATATATATATATTAGTATCTGCAAATCTCAAACTCCCAGTTTATCCCTTCCCACCCCCTTTCCTCTCTGGTAACCATAAGTTTGTTTTCTATGTCTTCTGTTTTGTAAATAAGTTCATTTGTCTTTGTTTTAGATTCCATGTAGAAGTGATATCATATGGCATTTTTCTTAATGTAAGGAAAAAGCAGTTTCATCTTTGCATGTGATTATTCATTGGCTACAGCAACATTCTCCAAAGCCTCTTTGTGGAGAAACCTGGGATTTATAACCATTGGATAGTGGCACTTGGCTTATTTTTAGTTTTGCCTTCACCCTGATTGGCTGTGAAATGACTACAAATGGGATCAACCGGTTTTCATTAAGGGACCCAATATAGCAGGAACGATGTTCTTCACTCCTGTCTCTGAAAGCAAAAAACAGCATTGCACTGCCGTGGCTGCAGCCGCCCCAACACCAGCAGCCATCTCCTCCCACCCCCCAAAAGAAAACTGGAGATAAGTGAATGGCAGAATAAATAATTTATGCTAATGAAATTACTGCAATTAGTAGTTCTACAATGACCCTTTTAAAAGCCACAGCTGTTAATGTCAGGAAGTGCTGTCACTACTGACCTTATCATAAGAGAAAGTGACAAATTGAGAATGCAGGGAAGACCAGTCATCAAAGAGGTCTGTTCTGGAACGATTAGAGTTTTCTGAAAAACAGTGTGAATTACAACCAGCTGCTCCCTGGCTCTGCAAGTCTCCCATGCTGTGCCATTTTGTTAAGCCCGGATAACAATAGTTATTTTGCCCCATTGAGACAAGTTGTCTGGGGCCACTTCCAGCTCTACCGGAAACCACTTCTTCCATCGAGGATTTACAAATGAAACTGTTGTTAAAGAGAGCCTTTCAGGGCAGCCGAGGAGCCTCCTCATAAGGATCATAGTTGGGCAGAGGCCAGGTTTTTTTTTCTTTCCTGTAAGGAGGTTGTGTTTGGCTGGGGACATATCTGTCTATATTGGAGAAAGATATGTGCTTGATTTTAGTCACGTTAAAACAAGACGGGACAGAAGTGAATTTCTGCCCATGTTTATACTGCAGTCAGCTTCTTTTAAAAATAAAACCCCCAGGGGGCTGTGATTTATGTGGTGTTACATAACTTCCTTGCAAATTTATATTCTGAATCCACTGTTTGGTCATATACATATGTCCGGGACCTAGTAGAAAGAATAGTCAGGATTTGTATCTTCCGGTATTTAAATTTTGCTTTAAGTGCATTATTTTGGTTACTGGCGTGATGGATTTTTAATATGCAAAACAATCCAGGATGTACATGTTTTAAACCCACTCAGGCGTTTATCAGGAGGCTGCAAAGCGGTGTGTTTAGACGTTGTTTAGGAGCAGTTGTTCTTCCTCAGCAAGAACCAGCCTTTCTCTCCTCGCACCCCTGGTTGTGATATTAATGGTGCAGGTTTGAAACGTTTAACTGCATCACCAGCCACTTGGGTGCAATTTTCCCAAAGATGTCTGAGCGTTATTGACAACCCTTTGGTAAATTATGTGTGACTTTCCTAAGAGTTGGTGTAGCTCATTTAATTCATATTAATTGATTTTTAGGCTTCCCTTGATTAATTGAACCTGGTTCATCTTGTACAGAATGCAATAAATAATCATTAAAATGAGGGAGATGTGACTCCACAAATTAAAAAGTTAACTACTTCAGAAGTCATAGAGGACAAAACGGAAAGAATGTCTGCTGGGGAGTTCTCCAGTGAATCTTCAAAGGAGAGTTGCTCGTTTTTTGTTGGTTTGTTTGTTTTCCAAATTAGAGTAGAAATAATCATATTTTTCTCCCAGAAACAGTGACTCATATGCCTTGCCATCCAGTTTGTTTTCACATGATTCTTATAAAACCATGTATGGCTCAGCTTCAGCTTTTATTGTTTCCATGACTGCAGGGTTGTTGGTTTTCTTTGGCTAAAGTTTAACTTGAAAGCAATGCCAAAAATACTTCTCTGAGTACCGTGTCTCATTTTCTCCATTTTCTCTTGCACACACTTGATAAAAATCAAGTTGTGAAAAGCAGGGCTTGTGTTGCATGTTGGCTTTTTTGACTTTTGGGTTTGGTATGTGGAGCACATATAAATCCTTTGCCCTACTTGGCAAGAAGAGATTACTTAGCCAGATGCTTTCTTGTCATTTTTCTCATCCTGTAGAGACCTCTTCAAGACTAAATAAGTTTTCCTAGATCTACTGTAACTTGTTCTGGCTTTTAGAAAATAAACACCATATAATTTTGATGATTTTTCTTCTTTTTTGTAAATTGCATTTTTTTTACATGAATTGCAATGTCTGTGTTTGCAGCCCCTGAACAAAGATGCTGTTAGCCTTTTTATGGCCCACGTTCACACTAGTGTCAGTGAAATGAGTGCCAGGTATTACCAGAACGAGAGAAGATACAACTATACCACCCCAAAGAGTTTTCTAGAACAAGTGTCGTTGTTTAAAAGCCTGTTGAAGAAGAAACAAAAAGAGGTCTCCCAGAAGAAAGAGCACTTGGTGAACGGCATCCAGAAGCTAAAAACCACAGCCTCTCAGGTACGACCAGGGTGTTTTATGATTTAGTGAAATCTCTGCTCTTCAAATTAAAAAATGTATTTACTCTTGAAGCAGCATTTCAACCCATTTATGTAAGATGCCTGGTGCTAAAATGGACAGTTTAATGACCCAAGGAACACACTGTTTGTTCCTGCTTTCCTAAGCTCAGTCGCAGCTGGTTTGGAGAGCGCCCTCCTCTCACTGGCCTGACTCGGTGCAGTGCAGTGTGGAGATGGTGAGCGGAGCAGGCACAGCTGATTCCCGTCTCCTCTCCGATTGCTTTGGTGCTCTGGGCTTATCAAGAATTCTGTTACCAGAGGATGGAAGTAGGATCCCTTTTGGTCTCAGATTCTCAACCCCCAGTGATGGCATCGTTTCCTGGCTGATGATGTGATCGGAGTGGTTGTGATTAGAGTCCCTAAGTATAGCAGTTTTCTCTGACCTTGGTGTCTGATCTGCTCCTTTCAGCCACTGTCTCTCTTGGATGGAAGTATCCAGTGTTGCCTTCATCCTCAACCACTGGTCCTCCACTACCTTGAAGGACAGCACCTCTGACCTCCCAGAGTACATCAGGAGAGGGTTAGCATAGGATGTTAATTGCGAGTGGGTCTGTACGCATAGCATCTGATTTTATTGTTAAAAACCAAACATGTTGGTGAAGTAGGTGTTGCTACTGTAATTTTATAGGAGGCTTCAAGATTTTAAGGCCACAGAGACTATGAGGTTGGAGTTTAACCCAGATCTATGCAAAGTCCATGTGTTGCCCATAGTTCCAAGCTGCCTCTCTGTGACTGGCCAAAGAAATCAGCATGAGAGGAGATGGAGACTTTGGAGAATGGCCCAGCCTCTCTCTGGGCCCACCAGGCTCTAGAGCTAAAGGGGAAAAAACATTCTCACCAGTGGTCACCTCAAGGCCAGAAACTCCAGTGGGCTTCTTCAGAGTACCATTATCAGGTTGTCCTCCCATATGCTTTTCAAGAGATTAGGCCAGCTTACCCACCAAGAGTGCTGGGTGGTCCATCCGTGCCTAGACTGGAAATAAGCCAGAACCTGGTTGGGAGAGTGTATATTGGCACCTTTCACCCTGAAGGACTCTCTCGCCATGTCCTTCAAGCATTCTCAAGGCCAAAGCATCACTTGCCTCTTGGCCCCTTTGTTCATATCTAAGGAACGGCTCTTTGGTGAAACACTGTCATCTGTGCTGAGCAGTGAGTAGATGGACCACGTTTGGGAACCAGAGTGAGGAGGCTTCCAGGACAGTTTCCAGGACTGAGTGATGTAAAAACCAGTTGCTGGAAGACCCCCAAAGAATCTCTTACGTTTTTGCCTTCTTTCTCTTTCATTTGTCTTCCCTCTCCCTGTTTCTCTGATTCCATCTCACGTGAATCAAGATCCTTTTCCCTAGTAAAGAAGGACTCTCCTAGGAGTCCTTTTGAGCTAAAAGTGAAGGAGATCTGTGTCCCAGAGCTTTTATGTCCCTTGGAATGATGTCACAAACTGAGCCTGTTGACTTTGCACCGGGAAATGATAGTGTTGGCTAAACTGAACTGTCAGTACTGATGGGTCCTCTGCCACACTTAAAGGGTTTTCTTCTCGAATAACAGAGAAAAAGCATGGGGGAGGGGGTGTCATCCTGATTCATCCCAGTGGTGGCAGCTCTCAGCCATAGGAGAGAGAGTCTGTGGTTTCCAAACAGTCATCTCAGTGGTGTGTTGATGAGTTGAGGGGGTGGGGGAGAGGAGGAAAGGAAGGGACAGGAGATTCACGGTGTCTGCCAGGTTCAGGGCTGTTGGGCATCTCCTTATTCCCCCTTGGCTAGAAACAGCAGGCAGAAATTATGAGAAGAAGATATCTGTAGTCTTGATGGAAGGACTACTGATTTCTTTTCGTTAGCTATTTGTGCATGTTATGCTCTTAATAATTAGTAGAAGAGAGACTGTAATATTGAACAGCACCTTAAGAGTTTTTTAAATTAATTTATTGTGAAGAGGAAGTATAGTTTCCTGTGTGGACACTGGGAGAACCTTAAAGTTTAAGATCATGTTGTATGTGTGGAGCAAAAAGTCTTCATGTTGGAGCGTGTGCCCCTGAAGCAGTCCCACTGCTAGCCAGGCCATTTGAAATATGTCTAAACCTTAATGCTGTTCATGCAGTGCAGCAAAGCCAAACCCCTTTTATAGCCACGGATCCCCACTGCAGATTTAGCCTAGGTCATAACAGAGAGCCCCAGTGACTTCTCTTCATGGCTGAGGCCTCGTACCCAGGGCTTGAGTTGCTCTGGACGTTTCAGGCCTAACGGCTTTCTTAGAAACTGAAATGTCAGGGCTTTCCTCTAGTCTCATGGGTGGTGCTTTTGATTATGGCCTAACATGGGACTAGTTTCATCTGGCTAAAAAGAAGAGAGAAACAAACGTCACTGTGCAGTGCTACCCCGAATTCGCAGAGAGGTTAAACAGTCAGCCTTAGCTGAAACGATAGTAGCACAGGTAGCAGGCCCAGTAGTGGTCGTGCCTTTTAGGTGGAATGTAAATAAACCACGTTGAGGTGGCGGTTACAAGGGTCCTTGGATATAGGAGTGGAGTGTTGTTCCACAAGATGATGCCACTGGAGTGTTTTCAGCAAGTGAGTCAAAATAAATGGTTATGATTGTTCTTTGTTTTTATGATTGGGGGAAAAAAAAGCAGTAATATTTATACCACACAGAACCAAAAAGGAGGGGGGCGTGAGCAACAGGTGCTTGGGTGGGGACTGCTGTTGGTGCTTCCCTGACTGCCCAGAGTTGAGAAGATAAACGTCTAGTTGATACTGACATCCATTAATGACGTGTTCCCCACAACCATTGGAAAGCATTATTCTGTCTCTTCCTGTATGGAGAAAAGGGGGGTGGGGGCTGCATTTTTGCACATGGAATGAAAGTCAAATCAGGGTGGAAACAAATGCAAGATAGAAACTGTTAAGCATCCCTGAATTCTTTAAAAAAGAAAAATAAGCTATATCTGATGTTCATTGTTACTGACACGAGTTACTTTAACATCATGACTCTTCCTTTAGGTGGAAGATCTGAAAGGGAGGCTCGCCTCTCAGGAAGCCGAGTTACAGCTAAGAAATCACGATGCTAAAGCTCTGATCACAAAGATCAGGCTTCAGACGGAGAAAGTGAGCCGGGAAAAGGCTATCGCAGACGCCGAGGAGCAAAAGGTCAGGCTAATTCCACTGCTTAGAGCGCTGAGCTATATTTAGCACAAAATAAACCTTGGTAGGTGAACAATTTTGAACAACTTCCTCTCCAGGGAGCATAAAATCTAAAGAATTATTATAGTTACACATGTAACAGCATTTCACACCATGATTACCACTTGACCTTTCTTTACATTATGCATTTTCCCAACCTTTCAGCTCTTTGAATGATATGAAAGAACAATAAATACTGAGCTCATTCAGGCATATAATGGCTGTGGATCTTGAACATCAGGCCTATTTGTAATACAGTAAAGGTCATGGAGTCACCTCGGAGGTTTCTAAAGGTTTTCCGTTTTTAGGCAAATTGAACAACTCAATTGTTAACAAAGCCCATTCCGTTACTTTGCAAGATGGTTTTCAGTTTTTGCATTTTAATAATGCAACTTGAGTTTCTTATTATATTCTAAGCTAAATTTGTTCTTTTTGATTCACTGGAGGCCCTGGCTTTCTGTATTAGGTTTCATTGTTGGAAACGGTTACTTTCAGAATTATATTGATTCTGCTTTCTTTATACTTGGGTTTCCAGCAATTCTGAAATAAATGTAACTCATTTTGTCTTTTTACCAAAACTTCAGCCACAGGGGGAAGGTATTTTATTTTTGTGTATTTCCCTGTCCCAAAAGAACTATCATAGTATACAGAATGATTACTAAATATTTATTTAAAAAATTGAATGAATCTATATGTACAAGGTAAGTTCTCTTATTTTAGACAAAAAAACTATAATCCGTGCTTAGTTAATAAAAAATTAAAAATTATGAGGCCTCTGATAGCTAGTGGCTCAGGAGCCATTATGCTATTACCCTTGCATTTATGATACCAGAAGATATTTGAGTTTTTCCAGTGGTGCTGTCATTCATTCATAGGCAATTGAGTTGTTTTTCTTTTTTCTAATGTGTATTAAGCATGTTTGCCATTAGTTTGCCCAACTAAAGACTTGAAAAATATATTGAAGAATCAAAGTAGTAAATAAATAATTTTTTTTCAAAACTTATTTTTGAAGCTGAATGATAAGGCACATTTGGTCCATAGGCATATAATTCCTAATTCTGGTTATGTTTCCATTGCGTTTCAGATAAGTGGAGGATATTCTTAAAAGTATATTTTTATATTAAGTAATTAGTTATCATACATGATGTGATTATCATAAGCTAATTCCACCCAGGGGATATTTTTCAGGCATTACACACATAAGTGGTGTTCTAATAATTACTATCTCATAACCCATCTCTACAGATCTTAAAATATAACAAGTCCTCTGGAGGTATTTTCACATTTTTGCACGTGAATTCCTAAGGCAAAAATTATCCTCGCAAAGGGGGTAAAATATTTTAGCAAATTAGAACTCACCTGACAGGTGGTTTCATAAAATTCTTCAAACATGAAAGACACATGCTATTTTTTATATCTAATCCATACCAAGAAATGAAGATAATACTAACAAATACTTTCATTCTGTCCTGAGTCTTAATTTGGTTATAAATACCAATGTTGACTGGCACCTATTTTTTGCCCAGCACTTTTCTAGGCTGTTGAGGATGTGTGATCCACAGAGTCTGCATGTGGCTTACATTGTAACCGAGAAGACTGACAGGAGACGGGTGACACGTAGATAGACGAGATATTCTGTGTCAGTGATAAGGACTGTGACGAAAGTCAAATAGATTCGATCGTGGAAGGGACTGTTTTAAATTGGTGGTCATGGAAGGAAGGTCTGTTTGTAATTCAACCATGTAGAGTCAAGAATGAATCAACACCCAGTATGTGCTGTGGGCTCAAGTTTGTTGTATGTTCAGCGATGTGCTAGATTCTGTGTGGTTCTTCAAGAGGGGTGTATATGGACTCTGTGATTCTAGGGAATTGGGGTCTTCAAGATTTAATACATAAGAAGTAATTCAAAAGTAATCAAAAAGGACATGGCCGTGTTTAATACAACTAAACGAACATTGGGGTTTAGAGACTGCCTTGCTGTGCATCTTGACAACCCATGTAGAGAAGCCAGTTGAAATTGTTGCTTCAAATTTATAAAATCATTGAGGGCCATTCAGACCACTGCACTGCCAGCAGTGACTGCAAGGAACATGAGCACCATGAAGCCTGTGAGAATTAGATCTTTGTTTCACCTAACAGCTCCAAATTGTAAGGATCCTTTGACCCCTTTCCAACTGCTTTCTTTGTTGAGTGAAAGTACCTTCCACATTGCAGGGCTCATATAATCTCTTCAAAACTTGGACATCTTCCTTGATTTTGATTGGTCTTCAGTTTCTTCATGTGTTTCTTTTCTGAAGGTGGGTGGGGCTGGATTTGGGAGGACCATCAGGAATTTGCTCTAGTCTGAAGACAGGTAAGAGCCATGTATTAGTTTCTGGGGACAGAGGAGATTGCACTGTGAGGCCCACCAAGTTGCTCAGATGCACAGCACTTGAACTACTCTAGTGTCCTTGCACCGTAGGATGATAGGAGTTGTGAATGGGAAGTACATTGACCAACCTAGAGTATTTTTAATGTACATTTGTGGGGTTTTATTTATTAAATGTCCCAGATTGCTCTGTTGATCAAATTACCCAAAATAACACTCCATTCACAGGAAAAGAGTTAGAAGGAGAAGAGTCTACAACCCCTAGTTTCATAGAAGTAGCATGTAGAAAAAATACTCTCTGAGATTTCTAAGTATTAAAAATCTATGATCCTGAGTCCAATTGAAAATGATGCTGTTATCGGTGGTCACAAACAGCATGTACAGATGTGTAACATCCTTATGGACAATAAATAAATCTGAGATAATAACTCACTTACATACATTCTCAATTTCATCTATAGCAGTGTTCTCTAGCACAGTGAAAATGTAGTATTCTTAGAATTTTCATGGTCTATTCCTGGCAGTTTTGAGGATTGTGGTTTTGGAGCAGTTCTCAATAAGCAGGTGGAGTTTCCTTATTTATGTTAATGGTAGTGTGTAAGTATTGGCTGAAGACCACGTATCTACCCTGAACCAACTATGTTCATAAAAGGTGCAGTACAAAGCAAAATAATGGCTAATCAGAACAAGAGTAATTATTGCTAATAAAGCTGCCGTAAATAATGTAATTTGTTGTGAGCAGTGTTTAATTTTATGGTATAGTTAAACGTGCTTATTCCAAACACATCTGAAGAAATGTCCTTTTGTTCACACTTTACATTTCACAATTACCATCACCAGAGGAACCATCCTCTGTGGTGACTGAATCCCGGGGCTCAGGGCCACAGCTCTGAAACTCAGATTTCTGCTGAGAACCACAATTTTACCCTTCCTGGGCATTCAAGTTCTATAGGTGTCTTTAAAGGAGGAGGATAACTCCAAAGCGTCTCATTTTGGTTTGGTTCAAGTGTATCAGCATGGCTTCCCTGTACTGTATTACATGTGTTCCTGTCAGGATGCTGGTGCCGCACCCTCTCAGGCATGTGAAGAGCACTGCTGGACCCTCAGCAGGAGAGTGGACAGTAGTGTCCTGGTCCCCTTGCCAAAGACTGGACCTGCATTGTTGCAGCTTTGGTTTCTTAGCCAGGTTCTCAGAGAAAACAATAATTACTCTTCATAGAAATTCTGTCTGTGGTGAAACATGCACAGAATAGAACGGTATCTTTTAGCGAGTTAAACAAAATAGCTTCACATTTATTCTTAAAGGGGAGTCAACATGCCTTTAAGGTCATGGAAATGTAAGTAATTAGGTAATGTAGGTAAGGTAAATGTGAGCAAAAATTAGAGAATGAGCCAGCGTGGGTTTTCACTTGTCCAGGACTCTGTGAAAAAGCAAATTGACGAACAGAGGGATTGCTTCATCTTGCATTTATTATTAATGGCACTTTATCATTAAAATAGTCAAAGCCCTTCTTGGAGCATTTTGATACTTGAATCCACTTGTGTTGAGATTTGTCTTGTGTGTGTTTTGTGCATGTGCAATGCTTTGTACATAGACTCTGCCTGAAAGGAAATTAGTCTTGAAGAGAAATTCTTCACCTGTTCCAAATACAGACGAATTACTGACCAGTGCATCTGCTCGGCCTGCGTTTTTCTGTAGAGATCTCTGAGGTGATCATTTGTGTCTGTGGGTTTATGTGCTTCTCCTCTCTGGTTAGGTGACAGCCATTCAGACGGAAGTGTCCCAGAAACAGAGAGAGTGCGAGGCCGACTTACTGAAGGCTGAGCCAGCGCTGGTGGCCGCCACAGCTGCCCTCAATACACTCAACAGGGTAAGGAGGATTCCTTGGCTCGTGGGTTCCTCAGAGTAACCTTTGAAGGTTATTGGAGGTTGAATGACTGAGCTGAGAGTAAAGTCCATGCAACCAAAGAATTTTTAAGGAGGAAAGGAAGTCCCATCAAATGTTACGGTTGAAACAAACATTTGAGGTCATCACTATAGTTCAGCTTCCTTTTGCATCCTGGAGTCCACCCTACCTCACCCCAGCAAGCAGTCTCCTTTTGAATGCTTCCAGCACCATGCAGTGTGTACTCTAATGAAAGGCAGTTTTGTTAGCAATTTTATTTGGCACAAATCCAGTGGTTCATATTCTGTGTTGCTTAAAGAACGAAGTAGAGGGTTCCTTATTTCCCCTGTAGACAAAAAGTTGCATTAATGAGAGACCCTCAGGAAAAGAACAACAGGCTGGAAACGGAGGTACTGAGGTACTGAGTGACCCGCACTGTTTTCCCTGGCTTCATGCTATTAGCAAAATCTCATTGAGCATTTCTGTTCCCATTAAGAGATAATCTGTGATGGTCAGAAGGGTATTGTAAGGAAAAATGGATTTATGGGCAAGGTTATTTAAGAGTCTGCAGCTTGTCTTGCCCTCAGGTTCTACTAGGCCTCTGGGGAGAATCCCAGGGCATTACTAGGCCTGAAGATTTTAAGATTCAACTTCAAGGAGTAAAGGATTCAGGCTTTAACTGCTCTTCAAAGAAATATTCAATTCATTTATCTCAGTGTTTTTCTGAAGAAAATAATTTTAACTGTGAGCAAAGAATTGTGATCTTCATGAATATTTCTTACAGTATTACCATAAGACTGAACAATTTAAAAGACCATAAATGTACCATGATGGAAGGTTATTCTGCATTCACCTATCCTGCTGCCATTAAAACGATACTGTTGTATACTAGCTAGCAAGCTGAGAAAATGTTCGTGATATATTAAGTGAATGAGTCAGATTATAAAATAGGATATACTATGACTTTTTTTTTTGCTAGAAATATGCTTGTGCATAGGAAAAAAAGGGTGGTAGTAACTGATTATCTCTGAGTAATGGAGTTTCGTGTTTTCCTCTTTCTGAGCAGACAGTGTTTATTTTCTTCTTTGTGCTTTACATTTGCAACTTGTCTAACTATATTATTATCTACTCAGTCAAAGTAATATTGCTTACATATCAAGCTCAGTGTATTTATAAACAGTGAAAGGATCTTGATTATCCAGCTCTCAAATAGTATCAGCATGTTTTAAGTTTTTGCTTTTACTCTTATTTTCACACCCTTTCTGTTCTTTGCAGTCATTTCCGCAACAAATAGGCAGTTTATGGTAATGGAGCAGAATCAGGGTCAGCATTTGATGAGGTTTTATAAGCAAGAGTGTGTCATATAGCTCATGAAATATCCCAGGAAATACTTATTTTTAAAAAAAGTATCACGAATCTACATATATTTCTTATAGGTACTGATTCTTGCTCCACAGTATTTGCCCTGATCCTTGTAATTTTTCCTGTTAATACCATCTGTTGGGTATATCAAGATTCTGACCTGGAGTCGAGGGTGAAGGATGAGGGCAGAAAGGAGGTTCAGCCTCTGCAGGCATCGTCCTAATTGAGAGGCATTATAATAGAAGATACAACAAAAGAGGTTTCTTGTGCATGTAAAGCAGAAAACCAAGAGACTGTGAACTAAGAGATGATGTTTCTGGGAAGACCTGGTTAAAAGCCAAATGTATGACATAGGTGGGACAGACCCCAAAATACCTTAAAACCTGTGTTTATAAAATTCCCTGGGCTGAGTGTGCAGATGTCTGCAGGACTGGGCTATCAGATGGATAATTTTACTTGGAAGCCAAGAAAGGGCAGTGATGTTTCACTTAGAGAAGTGCTGGCAAGAACTGAACCTCCTGGGGTCCCAAGGTGGGATCCCTGGGTGGTCAGAAAAAGCTGGGGTGAAAGGAGAGGACAGAAAAGACCAGCCCCTGAAGACTGGCTTGATAGCCTAACAGCTCTTCTCCGGACCTCCCCTGATCTTGAGAGTGTGTGTGCTTTTCCTCAGGTCAATCTCACTGAGCTGAAAGTCTTTCCCAACCCTCCAAATGCCGTTACCAACGTTACTGCGGCCGTGATGGTCCTTCTGGCTCCCCGGGGCAGGGTGCCAAAAGACCGGAGTTGGAAAGCAGCTAAAGTCTTCATGGGAAAGGTATCAGACGACCCGGCAAATGAAAATCCTGACCGTTTCTGTGTTCAGTACTGTGGATATAGTATGCTTGACAGCAAAAGATGTTCAGATTGAAGGAAATTGTCCTTGTATTTGTTGAGTGTAACCTGCTATATGTTCTCCTGACTTAGAATTTTTTGTTTGCCGAGCTGGAGGTTAGTGTGGGATTTCAGCACACCTAAGTAAATACTAGCAGCCGTTGGCAGGTTGCTAATTATTTTCAAAATTATGAAAGCAGTTAAGTGTAGGAGGGAGAAAATTACATGGATTCTGTATGCTGGAAAAATGTTACTAATGTACAGGAAGGTGAAGCAGAGGGGTTTTGTGTTATGTGTTTTCCTTTTTCTTTCCTGCCTTTCTTTTCTTCAAAATGAGAATGCCTCCTGTGCAGGGACTGAATATTTTACCCTGGGATAGAAGAGATTTTTTTAAAAGTGTCCATTGCTAATTCTAACTTTATACTAGAAAGACTGAAAAAGTCAAACAGTGGGATAAATGCAGCTTGCCAGTTTTGCCTTTGTAATGTGAGTCCTAAAAGCTGATTTTAACTTTTGATCTTGGGATTTTCTCTGCAGTCCAAATGGTTCATGGCCGTAAGTCTTTTTGCTTTACAGGTTGATGATTTTTTGCAAGCGTTGATTAACTACGACAAAGAGCACATTCCAGAGAACTGTCTAAAAGTGGTGAATGAGCAGTATTTGAAAGACCCAGAGTTCAATCCAAACCTGATTCGGACCAAATCCTTTGCAGCAGCTGGTCTCTGTGCCTGGGTTATCAACATCATTAAATTCTATGAGGTATTCATCATAATCAGATGGTTTACACTGTTAACTCAGAGAGGGCCATACATATATTAATTCCTAGGCCAGCAAAATATGTAAAATAATTTGATGTTTAACTGTCTGCGTGAGATAAAATTCTGAGAATGAGACATGAAAGTGTCAGATAAAACAGAATTCTATGTTGGAGGATATTTAAAATGTTGAGAACTCTCTTTTTAGAGTAGAGTGAGTAGTGACTTTAGATCAAACCGCAGCAATTAGTTTGATTTGATGAGCTAAAAACTTGTTGGGTAAATTAATTATATTTATTTACATTAAAATATTCATTTCAGTTGTTGACTTGAAACAACTGCAAGGCTGAATTCATGTTTAATTAAACTTAATCCCTTCTCTCAAAGCAAAAATTTACTCTAGTAGACTTAATGAGAGGAGGAATTAACCATTTGGGAGCTTTAGTATTTTCCTGACAAATGCTTTTTTGACTGTCTGTGGTCTCATCGAAAGTTTGTACTTTCAGGCAGTGTAGAGAGAGAGAATCGTTTCATTCAGTTATTGATCTTTCAGATACTCATTGTCTGTCAGCTATGAGCCAAGTACTCTGCGGAGTACTGGATGTAAAAGGGAACAACAGTGCATGACCCTCCACTGGAGAGAACTGTCTCACTTTTGTCTTGGAGGGTAGAGCGTTATATTCAAAAATGGAATTGCACAGGAAATGCCGATGTCCTTCCCAGAATGGTTTTCATAAAACTGGGTTCTAACCCTCACACTGGGGACCCACAGGAATAGGACCTGTTGGTCTCTCCCTCATTAGTGGAAGCCTGTATCGAGCAGGAGTGCAGGCAGGTGACGGCTGCTGGACGGCTTCTCTCCATCAGAACACGCCTGTCCGCAGGGCTCACCTCACACCGTAGGTGCAAAGAGGAGCATGGAGCTGTACGGCAGCTGTGTTCTGGGTCGTGTTGCTATGAAATAGTAAAGAAAATTTAATTTCCTTCCTCTCTCCCCAAGAGGAGAAAACTGGTCTAACCAAATTCTCCAACCGCCCATTAAAATGACACTTCAGGTGGCTGGGAACTTAGAAAAGAAAGTGGAAGTGTGGTTGAGACGGTGTAAGGCTATCTCCCTCACTCCTTCCTGGGTTCAGAGAATTTCTCCACACTGATTTTCTGCCTTAAAGGCAAGACCACCTTTAGCTGCAACTTTTGGTGATAGGAGGAACAGCTCCCAATTTTAGGAAAAAAGTTTAGTATCTTAATGGTGTTTGACCTGTGAAGCATTTTATGCAAGTCCTTGTAACTCTAGTGTCTGGAATAAATGAGTAGGTAATGGACAGCCAGATAGAACTTGGAAGGCTTTTTGGATTTTGGTTCTGCCACTAGGTTCTGCCATTCCTAAGAATAAACAACAAATTTCTAGGAGAATTAGAGGTTTGAATGATAAAGCTTCCAGCAAATAGAAGACTGGATGATTACTTGTTCTCCTTGCATTGTTATGACCTTGTGAATTAACCCCCACGTGGATTTTAAGGTCTACTGTGACGTGGAGCCCAAACGCCAAGCCTTAGCCCAAGCCAACTTAGAACTGGCTGCAGCTACTGAAAAACTTGAGGCTATCAGGAAAAAGCTGGCGGTAAGTGCAGATCCCACCACTGAAGGCATTCCCAAGGTGTGGCACCCCAAGCGATCCCACCTTCAGACAGGGCCACCGCTGAGCCCTGCCAGATAGAAAGGAGTTTGAGCTTTCATTAATGTATTCATTTATATTCTCCTTCAGTGGATGTTCCTTATGTATAGAAGACACTGAGCTGGAAAAGTGGGACCTTTTTGTGGTTTCTGCACTTAAACTATCATGGTCTGGTAGGAGAAGGCAGGTAACAAGGGATTAAAAGTCAGGATTCTGGAGCCAAAGTCCCTGGATTTACATCCTGGCTCTGGTTTTTATTGTTTCACCTGCACAGGTTTGTTAACCTCTCCGAGCCTCTTTTTTTCTCATCTGTGAAATAGGTATTATAATAGCATCCACTTCTTTGGTAGGATTGTGAGGATTAAATGAAAGTAATTCATATCAAGAATTTAGCACAGTACCTGGTATGCAGTAAGTGCTTAGAAAATACTAACTGCAAATATTGTGGCCCTTACTAATTTTACAAATATATAACTGGTGATGGTAGCCCAGTGTTATAAGTTGACAGGTGACTATATAGAGAATGCAGTAGGAATACCACAAAAGAGCCCAGAGAAATTAGTGAAGGTTTCACAGTAAAGGTGTACTTGACATGGGCTTTGAGAATTACTTGGGAGTGACCAGGATAACTCGGTCAGGAAAGGGATGCCTGGTGAAGAATGAGGAGGGCAGACGCAGTGGGCACACTCGAAGAGTCTGAGGAGGCCAGAGCCCTCAGGTGAGTGTTTGGGGGAAAGTTAGGAATAGCAGGAAGTAGTGAAGGATGAACTTGGAAAAAGTGAGTGAAAGCCTTCTCTACCTTTCATGCTGCAGAATTTAAATTTTATCTGGCCTGTGGTATTGAGCCTTTGAAAGGTTTTAAGAGATTAATGATGTGATTAAATTCACGTTTCAGCAGCTGAAGGAAAGCTGGAGGAAGAGGAGAGTCTAGATGCAGAAAGACAAGCTACAAGCCCTGCAGTGAGACCTGTTAAGGCCTCACCTAAGGCAGGAGTGGCCGCAATGGAGATGATGAGATGGATTCAAGGCTGCTGATGGGATAGGGAGAGAGGGAGGCACAAAGAGTAGCGCTGGTGAGTCTGAGGTGCCTGAAAAGGCAGCATGGAGTAGTGCGAGCAGAGTGAGCAGGCTGTGTAACCCTGGAAACTCAGGGAGACCCTCAGAGCTTCCGCTTCTTAACTGCACAAAGTGATGACAACAGCTAACCCTCCAGGTGGGTGTTTCTGATTTTTGGCTACCCAGCCTCCAGTCTTCCTTCTTTGGATGATAACATGATGGATCTTTGGGGAATTATCTATCCTCACTGGATACGCTCAGGTGGGACTTTGAGCAGAGATGCCTTTTCCTTTCCTAGCTGAAGACTAGATATATGATCCAGGCTTTGCCACTTTGAGCACCCCGCCATCTCTAGAATTGGAATCATTGGCAAAAGTTTTTAAGCCTGAAAATGGAGTTCCTCCATTGTAGAGATAGTGTCCAGGTGAAATTCTGAAGAAGTTCCTGCTCCCAAGACTCTCTGGAGCTCCTAAGGATGTGGTTCTCTGCCTTTCGTTTCCTTGGAAGAGCTCCCCCACTTTTAGGAAATTCCCTTCAGCTGAAATGAGCTGGAGGTGCTTTCTGTTGCTTCCCACCTATGAGTTCTGGTGTATTGAGGTGCTATTCAGTGTGCAGTTTGCTGTCAGTGCTTCATGAATTTTTGTTCCCACTCTCTTTGTATAGAAAGCCCATGTGTAGGTGATCAGGGGACAGAACTAGAGTTTGAAAGAGAAGCCTGGCTCAGGAATGTAGATTCAGGAATCACTGGTGTGCAGATCATGGGTGTAGAGTGTGAAGAATAAGGAACAGTGGGAGGATGTTCCCATCTTGGAGTGAATCCTGCTGTGGGTCTCTGAGCCCGTGAACTCAGCTATCACTGTGCCAGGACTCTGGTCCTCACAGGGGCCAGGCAGCCAAGTCCAGCTTCTTACGGAACAGGACTTGAACTTGGCCTGCTTGTATACAGGGCCACTACTTGTCATTCTGGCCAAAAGACAAAAAGGGTGGGGACACTTTCTAATACAGAATGCCTTCCAGACTTCAGGGCTGGTTCTCTAAAGAAGAGCAAAATCATCTTCCCAGAGCAGAGCCCCAGGCATTGACTCCTTCCATATACCAGGAAGGGATTAAATTGTGCTCTCATTTTCCTATTCAATAATTATAAGTTATTTTTATGATTATTATTTTAATAAGATGGTTAATAACCACAAAAGTGTTCTCCTTAATACATGGAGAATTTCAGCACCTCTCATAATTCACACCCCATCTTTGAAGAGTGCTTCCTCTGATAGACCATTCTGACCACTCCTCACCCCCTCCTTACTGTTCAATCTGCCTATTCCTACCACAGCATCAAGTATATACTATTCAAGAAATCCTAGTGAGTGTTGAAAGAAAAACAAGTCAACAACAGCTGATTTAGACAAATTAAGGATTAAACAAATTGATTTTCTAAAAATTGTCTTCATTCTTTGGTCAAAAACTGTCAGCTTGACTAAAACCTGAAGGAAAATGTTATTGTCTGCTGTTAATGGCTTTCTGTAAACATTAGAAGCAAGTTAATAATGTTTGTAAAAAAATGATGAGGATGCCCAGGACAGACATGTGTGATTCTACAAATCTCAAACTCCCAGTTTATCCCTTCCCACCCCCTCCCCCCGGCAACCACAAGTTTGTATTCTATGTCAAACCACAAGTACTTTAAATAAAGTAGACCTCTACATATTTATTTTAATCTGATTTCTAACTAGTTTTGTATAATCTCCCCTAGGTCTCATCAATTTGATCTTATTTTGCATGTTAATTTTAACATATTTTCTTTTTTGGAAGGTACTATTTTAATGATATGAATTAATACTATAATAATTAGACAAATATAGGCACCTTTATATTATAAATGGGGTATGTTCTACACGTTTGCTTTTTACAGTCTCTTGGAACTTCGCACGTATTTACAAGAGCAATGCTGTAATCTTATTTAGGGTGGTCAGGACTGGCAGGTAGCAAGATACTGCAGTACGAGGAGTCTCCCGAGTGTGTGATAGCTTAGCCAAGGCTTTGTCGGCTGCATGTAATAGAAACTCGCTCAGAAAACCTTGAGCCAGAAAGGAGACCAGAATGGCTTCTGGACCCTAAGGGGAGAAAAGCATGACTGGGTCTCAGGAGGAAAGGGGTCCAGGAAATGAGAAGCTGCCGTGAACATGTTAGGACTCTGTAACTTCTCATCTTACTTCCCTTTCAGTCTTTCTCTTTCTCCAGAATGGTTTCCCCTGTTTTCCTGTGCACCCGGGGGAAGATGGTCTCTTTCTAAATGAAGCCCTCTGAAATTCACACATCCTCCCAGGTCTTTTGATGCTAAAGACAATGACATATACCCCTGACTTTCAGTCTCAAGTTTCCAGAAGAGAAAATCTGGTTGGCTATGTGGGGTCAGGTTGCTGAGGTCTAAAGGGGTCAGCTGTTAACACCCGTCTTGTTTGTCTGAGTTATGGACCAATGAGAGATGGAAGGAGGGTCAGTAGGTGGAGAACCAATAAGTGTCCCTTATCATTAATGAAAGCAGTCCTGGAGAATGAAGCTTAGGCACGGGAGAGGGCACAGTGCACCCAGGGTGTGTTTAAGTCTAAAGGGCCTGTCCATTTGCCCCAGTCGCTGTCTGCGCTCTGCCCAGTGTAGGGAGAAGGCAAGAAGACTGCATGGTGACCCTGCCATCTGGGGTGACCTGGGTGTCTGGGGTGACCCTGATGCATTTATTGAGAGCAGCTCTTCCCATCTTCCCTAGCACAGGTGTCCTAAAGGAGCAAAGGTCAAAGGAGGGAAAGAGGTTTGTTTCATTTACCTTAAGCTCATAGGTGTTTTAAAATGATGATAATGTTTCCATTTCATCTAAAAAGGACTCAAAAGTTAATTTTGACTCTTATTTAGGATTTGGATCGAAATCTGAGCAGACTTACAGCTTCATTTGAAAAAGCAATAGCCGAGAAATTTCGGTGTCAAGAAGAGGTGAACCAAACCAACAAAACTATCGAACTAGCTAACAGACTTGTCACTGAGCTTGAGGCAAGTTAACCTTTTCTTCCAAAGTTCTAACTGAAATATTCTGAATTAGTTTTGGGGAAGTTTGTCTCTATTTGTTGTCAATACTAACAAACTCACATGGAATCAGCAACAAAGGGGAGTAATCATCATTCACACTGTAGTTCTGACTTACCAAAAGAAAGTAATTGATTCTGTGTATTTTTCAGTATGTAGCCATGGACTCAGGTGGTTTTCCTAAAATATGTCAGAAACTCAGGGCCACTGTTAGGTAGCTGTGGTATTAAACTATTGTCTGGTTCTTTTAATACACATTTGCAATTGAGTTCTACCAACAGAACATTACCTCAAGCTAAGCCTGCTTGGCTTATGTTCTGTGACATCTTTTTACAGATGACTGACATGCTAATGTGAATAGTTACTCCATTAAATAAAGATTTTTTAAATAGTTCTTCTTACCTTTCTCCTGTTTGAGCATGAGTGGTGGAAGAACATATAGCCTTTTGACATCAGTGAGTCACATATTTAATTTGCTCTCTTGTGTGTAGTATATTCGTACAATTGAATAGTATTTGATTATAAAAAAGACTGAAATACTGTTACATGCTACACCATGAATGAACCTTGAAAATATCTTGCTAAGTGAAAGAAGGCAGACACAAAAGTCCACATATTAACATAGAAAACAAACTTGTATTTACCAAAGGGAAAGGCAGCAGGGAGAGGGATAAATTAGGAGCATGGGATTAACAAATACAACTAGTAAATATAAAATAGGTAAACAACAAGGATTTACTGTATAACACAGGCTACAATATTCAATATCTTGTAATAACCTGTAATGGAAAAGAATTTGAAATATGTATGTGTGTGTGTATATATGTATAACTGAATCACATTGCTATACGTCTGAAACTAACATAATACTGTAAATCAACTATACTTCAATTAAAAAAAATTTTAAAAACACCACATATTGTATAGTTCCATATATATGAAATGTCCGGAATGGGCAAATCTAGAGAGACAGTAGATTAGTGGTTGCCAGGGGCTGAACAAGGGGGTGGGAGTTGGGGAGTGACTGCTAAAGGTATAGAGTTTCTCTCATGTGTGAGGAAACATTCTGAAATACTGAGGATGATGGCAGGAATCTGTGAATATATTCAAAACCACTCAATTGTGTACTTCAAAGGGTGAATTTCATGATATATGAATTAAATCTTAATAAAATTTGTTTTTTTAATTTAGTTGCTACCTAAAAGTATGTAACTGCACTATTAGAAATGCATTTAGCTGAAGGTGATAGAAAAGTTGATTTACAGTGGCTTAAACAAATAGTTTATTTTTGACATGTTAAAAAAATTCCAGGGGTGGACCATTATCAGTGTAGATTCAGGTAACTAGTGATCAGACCCCTAGTCTCTCTGCAGCCTTCCATTGTTCCGTACTTAATACATGGTCATTCGCCCTCACAGATTTTGCACTATGGTCACAGATGGGCACTGCACTTTCACATTCAGGAGAGAGAGAATAATCTGTAGCAGCTGAATTTTTCTCCTTTTATAAGAAAAACTGAAGTTTTTTGTGGAAGCCTCTCTAGGACACTGCCTCTTCAGTTTCTTTAGCCAGAACTGGAGTAACCTTGTCTAGCTGCAAAGGAGGCAGAAAAAGTGGGAAATGGATTGATCACAATTGGCTTAGCCAATCTCCGTTTATCCCATGAGGCTGGACACATTAACATTCTTCTCAAAATCAGAGTTCTCTTATCAAGAAAGGAGGGATACATGTATGTTAAGATGGGTTGAGCTGGGTGATAGCTTAATTTTTTATAAATATAGTAAATAGACTTTTAAAAATCTAATTTAAATTTACTACAAATTTAAATTCATCATCCCTCTGAAACTCTATAGTTTACTATACACAAACTCATAGTTCACTCTGCAAAATCCTCTCACCCCACTCCATCTCCATAACAGCAAGTCTGTTCTTCTGGTTGTCATGGCCAAAGCTTTGGAATCACCCTTGACTTTTTGATCTTTCTCATGACTCATATCTAATCCATCAATATATTGTAGTGACTCTACCTTCAGAGTCCATTCAGAATCCCAGTGTTCTCATTGCCTTAGCCTCGCCTCACTGGTCCAGGCTATTACCATCTCTCCCCTGGGGTACCACCCACCCTCTACTACTACCCTCCTCCCCAAGGTCCCGTTCCCCTAGTGCAGTTGAGTGATGTTGTAAACAATTAAGTCCATTCACGTCAGTGCTCTCTCAGAATTCCCCCCTAACTAATTGTCTCACTCGAAGTACCGTCCAGAGGTTTTACCTGGCCTACAAGGTCCTCCATGATCTGGCTCCTGGAACCTCTATCCTCGCTTTTGCCACCTTCCCTCTTGCTCTGTCTTCACCGCCCTCCTTGTCCTTCCTCACACTGCCAGTCACTCTCCTGCCTCATGGCCTTTGCCTGTTTCCTCCGTGTTGCTTACACCTTCCCGGGTAATGACATCACAGGCTCCAGAACTTCCTTCGGTGTCTGCGAAAAGTTCTCCTTATCATGTGATTTTCTCTGATCTCCCTACGAAAAAGAGCATGTGCCCTGCCCCCTACACACACCCATACACTCACCCACACACACACTAACTCTATAGCTCTTTCCACTTACTCCGCTTTATTATTTTTTCATAGTATTTGTCATCACTTGGCACACACACTTGTGTATGTATATATATGAATACATATTTTTTTGGTGATCTTTTTCTCCTAACTAGAGAATAAGCTCTCAAGAGCAGGATTTGTTTTCACTTGTTTTCTATAGTGCTAGATTCCAAGTGTGTAGAATAGTCCCTGGAACGTCATAGGCACCAATAGGATTTGTTGAATGAATGAATGGGTGAATTTGGGGAGCCTTTGTGTTTAAAAAAATTCTGGGGCCTTTTGAAGACTCTTGTCCTAGATCAGTTGAGAAATTTCACAGCTACTAGTGGCGTTTATACCTGCTTCCATTTAAACTGATAAGATTTAAGCAATCGGAAGTGTTTACCACTTATGAGGGACCTGAGAAACAGAAAAAGTGTCGTTTTATTAGACTTACTTGAAATAGTTTCAGAATGTCTGAAAGTTTTATCAAGGGAAAAATAGGTTCTATGATGTATCTCTAATACCTAGCAGTGTCTTCCAAAGGCTTTATTTAGTCATGATAATTTAAAACAGGAGAGGGAAAAATAGTTGAATAATGTTAAATAACAAAAAATACATATGTGTGTGTATATATATTTTTAAAGGATTAATGGAGGATGTCAGACCTTTTCCTTTGAGGATAAATTATTTCTGACTAGAACAGGAGACAGTTAACTTGGGAAAAGCGTCAAGAGTGATGATTTTGTCTATATAGCATTGACCTGGAAGCTATAGTCTCAACCATTCAGACTAATAAATCAGGCAATTTATATTTAATCATTAACTAACTCCGGAGCTGAACAGCTGTTCAAAATTAGAAATGGGTCACCCCAGCCAGGATGACATTACAGGCAATCTATAATGCATTAGAATAAAATTATAGTGATTTTTAACTGTCTAGAAATTTATTACAGGACATGTTCCAACTCTTAAACCCTTGTTAGCCGGTGTCAGTAATGATTTATGTTGCATGGGTGGTATAGTGAAATTATTGACGATTTCAATTGCCGATAAGTCTATGTTTGGTAAATCTTCAATTCCAAACCTGTTTTGGAGAATGAGGTGGGTGCACTTTATTGTTTATCATTTACTAACCAAAGGCAACAAAGTTGGAGGGAAGGCAAATGAGAGATTCTTCTTCAAAATTAATGGGTTTATTATCTATAGCTGAAGAAGGAAAGTAATGAATTCTGTTAAGAGAGCAAGGGAGTTGTAGTTCCCTAGTGTTTAATTATAGAGCTAATTTGGGGTGATCTTTATCAAGCAAAGCAAGGAAACTATCTTAAAGTAGCTTTCAGAACCATTTTCACCCACTAGTTTGGTTACTTCAGTGCTGTGGGTATTGTGATGGCTTGTAGTGAACTGGAATTTCAGTCTGTTCTGACATATTTTTGCTTTCTGTGATCTCTCTTCTTTCATGAGAAAAGCTAAATTCCACAGGGTTCTTCTGTGCTTGTATTACAATTTCCTGGGTTTTTTTTTCTAGTTACTGTTAATTTGCATGTTCTTAGAATGGAATGTGGTATTAAATTTTAGCATGTATTGAATCAGAGTGAATTAGTGAACTATCCTGCAGTTCAGTCAATCCATAGATATTTATTGCAGTTTTATTCAAATCCAATATTAAGGGCTCCACATACTTAACCTGGAAATCAGATCTTAAATGGCCATTCAGCTGGATCTGAGGACTTGAACAGCATTCGCTGAGCATACTGTCTTCAAGGCTTCCTGCGTCCGTCTTTTCACATTAGCTATAAGTTCTCCCACTGTTTGAGTGATTATATTAGAAAAATGACCTGAATTTAGTAACTACCAGCACTATTTTTTAATTAATAGAATCCTGGTGAAGTGACTCTTTCAGCTTTATATTTTTGTTAATTAACATACCTGCTGTCGCCATTTCCCTTTTTGTGTAATCAGCCCACACCCTGTACGTTTAGCACAGTGTTTGCCTAGGGCAGTACCACTAGTACGACTGCTGCTAAGTGGGAGGAGTGGAGCAGCCAAGTTGCCGTTAAAAATCCTAACATTACTCTGTCTTGGCTGCACCCCTTGGTTCCACACTCCCAGAGAGACAGGAGGGTGACTGTGACTATTTAAGAAGGACCTCAATCATAATTAAAGAGTTAGGGCATCCAACAGGAAGGAGATGTTCAAGATCTAATGTCGTATTGTCATGAACTCCACTGAAAAGTGTTATACGAGCACCTTTGTAATGATGGGTCCACAGGTATGAATGGTTATCATAGTTATGCCATCCAGTTGTGTTCCGTTCCTTCCAAAGGCCGTGCAGAGCGACATAGACTTAAACCGCGTGTAAGGTGATTACATTAAACATTTGTTGAGTTGATGCTCACCCTGCAGTTTACATCAGAGTAATCTTATCTTGCAGTCAGAGAAGATTCGCTGGGGTCAGGCGATTAAATCCTTTGAAGCTCAAGAGAAGACACTCTGTGGAGATGTTCTCCTTACAGCAGCATTTGTGTCTTATGTTGGATGCTTTACAAGACAGTATCGCCAGGAACTGGTAGACTGCATGTGGGTTCCCTTTCTTCGACAAAAGGTAAGCTCGTTTCCTGGCAGTGGCCACACGTAGAAGCCTCATACTGAAATTTCAGTAGTAAAAGCAGTGTATGTTCTGGGGTTTTTTGTACCTCTGTAGTACCACCTGCTTGGAAATTCTAGTATTGATGGAGACGTTTCTTATGTGTTGCCATTTCTCTTATTTTAGTGATTGCATTAGGGAGATGGAAAATGTAAGAATTATTTAGATAAACTAAAGAGATACAGTTGGAAAACCGCTTTTAACAAAACTGATAACTGAAATAAAATTTGGATCATTATGTTAGCATATAACATAAAACTGTTTGGTTACTATTGTGAGTTATCGAAGATTTTTTTTCACGACTACTTTCACGTGAAAAGTGTAACGTTTTGTATATAAGTATAAAAAGAGCTCATCCTCAATTTGAAAATTCAGCCTCATAAGCAAAATGAAATAGATTTGGGAGGTTTGAAATTGTCTAGTTTAAGATCATCCTTGTGCAAATGAGAAACCTGGGACATGGAAGTTGAAATGACTGGATAAGGTCATAAAGGAGAGGAAACCAGACCACTGACTTGCAGGCCACTCTTTTCTTGGCAGTGTTATCTCAATTGATTGAAGCCAGTTCTTCAGTTACAGATCCAGCCTTTGAGAAATGGTAGATCTCTGTATATTTGTGTTCTGTGTTGGTAATTATGCTTCAGTTTTCACAATAGTTGTTTTCTTGACAAAAAAATACATGCCCATGGAATTTCTGCAAGTTAAATAAAATTCATGTTTAGGGGAAAGCTCGTTATTAAAGGCATCCCATAATTAATAATTGTAAAAGAGAAATTCTCTGGTAACTAAATTATTTTAGTATATCTGTAGTATTAAGTCATATTCTTATACCAGATATTTTTTAGAAGAGGTTGTCTGTCTTACTCCCGAACGTTCAAGGTTTTCTTTATGTACTTCTGCTGTACACATGCATTTTATGTCAGAGGATAAAGCATTCTGCTAATTTTGTCCACCTCCTACTGCACTGTGAGTGTCAGGTGTATCTGCTGTCACATTCTTCTCTCACTGCTGTTTCTCAGCCGCATCTCCAAACTTTCATCCTCTGTGTGGATGTTTTTGTCTGGATCAATCTGTGACGACTTCAGATGGACTACTGGCCTTTTTTGTGACCCTCTCTGCATTCTTTATCATTCATAAAGTTTTCTCATTCTTTCCAGGATGATAGGGAAATTCGCTTACTTCCTGATGTCCAAACCATTGAACTTCACATTGTCTTAATGTTGTAATTGCTCTACACTCTATGATCATGTCGTGGTCTTGATGGTGTGAAGTTGTGCTACCTAGTCATTTTACATTCTTTAAAATTGAAAACTTGCCTTCTCTAATCTAAGTTTTAAAAATGGATTTTTAATTGCTTGTATAACATTATTTAGGGTATGTGTTTCGGGGAAGTTTCCCATCAATTGATTTGTATTTTCCTATTTACTTAAAATTCCAAGTATGGAGCTCCATAAAGATAAAATTTTGTTTTGGAGACTAAAATGAGATTGATTGTTCTGAATTAGAAAAGTAAGAACAAATTTTGTTTAATTAAAAAATTTTAAAAAATTGATTGACTAACCCAAACTGTATAAATATTCTAAACATATAGCCAAAGCAAAATGATAATTGTCTGATGCTGTATGCTAAACAAACATTTGTTTTAACTGCATGCCTGTGTTTCACTATGGCTTAACAATTCTCGGGGACCCTGTGTCTGTTTTCAGTTATCCCAACACTCTCTCCTTTTCTCTTGAGGACATAAGCACCATGTGAACTGAGAAACAGATCCTAAAACATGACCAGCCTTCTCTTGCTCATCTCTGGGCATAGCTGTACTAAAGGAAGAAGGACATTCCCAGTTGTATTAAGGACATCCTTTTGGAAGAGACCTTTCTGTCTCTAAGACCCCTGGCAGAAAGGGCTAAGGAAACCTGACAAATGTTTGTCCTGTGGAAGAGAGGTTTCCAGTTTCTGGACTACTTATCTTCCACTACTTCTAAATTCAGTCACAGCAAAGTAGAAAGACAGTCACATCTGTGTGAACATGTGCCACGGGCCAAGTGGAGCTGAAATTGCTTATTAGTGTTAATTTTTTGATTAATTGTCCTTCAGCAGTGTTCCCTCATCCTGCCCTTCCAAGAAGCAACTCCTCTTACTGCTGCATATCATACAGGACATTTTCTAGAGCTCTGTGTTCTCCTAAGTGTCTCTGGCTGTCCGTTTGACTTGGCTGTCCTGTGGATTCTAACAGTTTGTAAATTAACCAGTCAGCAAGTGACTACGATTTGTGTCATTTGTAAAACCTCTAAACTAAGCATGTCATTTATTAATGGCTGTTGACATATTTAAGGTCACCTTGGAGAGAAATTTCCTAAAGTAAGTCAGAAGTCCTTAATGTGTTCCTAGAAATGAAAACTTCATATTCTGAATGTATCAAAACTTCAAAATCTAGTAAGTAACGTAACTCGGTTCAAGTCAAAATCTCAAGAATTGTGTTTTCACTTGGCCTAGTAGTTCTAAAGTTTCCTGGAATATGTATATATGTATATGTATTTTATTGAAGTATAGTTGATTTACAGTGTTGTGTTAGTTTCTTGTGTACAGCATAGTGATTCAGTCATATGTATATATTCTTTTTCAGATTCTTTCCCTTAATAGATTATTAAAAGATACTGAATATAGTTCCCTGTGCTATATAGTAGATTTGTGTTGTTTGTTTATTTTATATATAGTAGTAGATATCTGTTAATCCCAAATTCATAATTTATCCCCCCCCCCCGCCTTTTTCCTTTGGTAACCATAAATTTGTTTTCTGTGTGTGTGAATCTGTTTCTGTTTTGTAAATAAGTTTAATTAGGTCCCATTTGTTTATTTTTGCTTTTATTTCTGGGAGACTGACCTAGGAGAACATTGCTACGGTTTATGTCAGAAAATGTTATGCCTATGTTCTCTTCTAGGAAATGTATGGTGTCCTGTCTTAAATTTAAGTCTTTAAGCCATTCTGAGTTTGTGTGTATGGAGTGAGGGAGTGTTCTAACTTCACTGATTTACATGCGGCTGTCCAGCTTTTCCAACTCCACTTGCCATAGAGGCTGTCTTTTCTTCATTGTATATTCTTGCCTCACTTGTCAAAGATTTGACTATAGGTCTGTGGGTTTACCTCTGGGCTCTCTATTCTGTTCCATTGATCCATATGTATGTTTTTGTGTCAATACCATGCTGGTTTTTTTTTTAAATTTATTTATTTATTTATTTTTATTATTGAGTTATAGTCAGTTTACAATGTTGTGTCAATTTCCAGTGTAGAGCACAATTTTTCAGTTATACGTGAACATACAGATATTCATTGTCAACATTCTTTTTCACTGTGAGCTACCACAAGATCTTGTATATATTTCCCTGTGCTATACAGTATAGTCTTGTTTATCTATTCTATATATGCCTGTCAGTATCTACAAATTTCGAACTCCCAGTCTGTCCCTTCCCACTTCCCTTCCCCCTGGCAACCACAAGTTTGTATTCTATGTCTATATGTCTGTTTCTGTTTTGTATTTATGTTCATTTGTCTTTTTCTTTCTTTCCTTCTTTGTTCTTTTTCTTCTTTTTTTTTTTGTTTAATACCATGCTGTTTTGATTACTGTATCTTTGTAGTATTGTCTGAAGTCTTGGAGGATTATGCCTCCAGCTTCATTCTTTTTCCTCAGTGTTGCTTTGGCAATTCTGGGTCTTGTGTGATTCCATATACATTTCAAGATTAGTTATTCTAGTTCTGTGAAAAATGTCCTGGATAATTTGATAGGGATTATATTAAATCCATAGATTGTTTTGTTCATGAGGCCATTTTGACAACATTAATTCTTCCAATTCAAAGAGCATGGCATATCTTTCCATTTTTTTAAGTCATCTTTACTTTCCTTTTTCAGTGTTTTATAGTTCTCAGTATATGAGTCTTTCACCTCCTTGGTCAGATTTATTCTGAAGTAACTTTTTGGATATGATTTTAAAAGGGGCTGGTTTTTTTTTTTACTTTCCTTTTCTGATATTTCATTGTTAGTGTAAAGAAATGCAACAGATTTCTGTATGTTACTCTTGTATCCTGCTATGTTGCTGAATTCGTTTTGTAGCTCTAATAGTTCTTGTGTGGAGTCTTTAGGGTTTTCTATATATAGTGTCATGTTATTTGCATATAATAACAATTTTACCTCTTTCCTTCCAATTTTGTTCCCTTTTATTTCTTTTTCTTGTCTGATTGCTGTGGCTAGGACTTCCAGGACTATGTTGAATAGAAGTAGTGAGAGTGGACAGTCTTGTTCCAGATTTTAGCAGGAAAGCTTTCAACTTTTCATCTTGATGTCACTCTTCCTCTGAGATCCACATGCAGTCTGTCTAGGCTACACCTTAAACATGTATTTAAAATCTGACCATTTTCACTGCTCCCATCCTGGTCTAAGCCATTATCTTTCTTTTTGATTACTGCAAAAACCTCTTAACTGGTTTCCTGGCTTCTGCATCTGTTATTTCTCTCCAAAATCTTATCTCAGCATACCAGCCAATGTGACTTTAAAGATGCAAGTCAAATTAAGTGAACTGTCTTCTAAAATCCCTTTGATGACTCCCCAAATACTCAGAGCAGAAAGCTAGAAATCCTGCAAAGGCTTATAAGAATCCTACATGATTTGGCCCCACTATCTCTCTTTATCTCTCTTGTTTTTACTCCTTTCCTTACTACTTTGCTCTAGTCACACTGGCCACCTTCCTTGATTATACCAGATATGCTCCAACCTCAGGCCCTTTGCACTAGCTGTTTCCTCTGTCCTGAAGTGTCTTCCCTCAGGTTATACATGTTTTTCTCCCTTCTATCAGTTAAGTCTTTGTTCAAACAACACCTTCAAATCCCTAGATATGATTACAGTCTCTATCCCTCAACATGCCTCATCCTACTTCATTTTTTTCACCACGACATTGATCACTTTCTA